GGGGGAGCCAAGTGACCTTATAATGCTTCTAGATGCGAGTTGGTAAGACATGTTTGAGAGGAGTGGCTGGTGTCCATTCTTTCTTCTTTTTCTAATGCTATAATGATATCGATTTAAAATATATTATACATTAATAATTTAAAAAAGTGATTGGTGTATTTTATTTGTTGTAAGAGGTCATTTAGTATGTTTTACAGGTAACCAATTCATGTTTGCTATAGATCATCAATGTTGCATGTAAATGGTTATTAAATACCTAACTATGTTATGCAGTTTATAGAAATTAAAGTTTTTTATATGTACGAGTTTAACATTTATGAACTAACAGTACAAAAAAGTTACTACTCTATGCAATCTGGAAATGAATATAATCTACTACTAACATATTAAAATACATTAATAATATAAAAATTATTTATATTATCAACAGTTTACCCTCAAAATCGGATAACAATTAAATTTGTTAATGGTTTAAAGGATATGCGGATTAATTTGATACTAAATGATAAACTTGATAGCAATTGAAATAAATAACGATAAATTAACTGCAAACCACACGAATTTGATAATTTTAGCCTAGGAAAGCTGTCCACCCTCAAGCTGAATGTACTTCGATTGACACCAAGATACCAAAGAATAAGAACTTAAAGATTAACGATAATATATTGCTTATGAGTGTATGTTACAATGTTCTTTCATGAGTCGCTAGGCCCCCTGTATATATTAGAGGAGTCCTACTTTTAGAGTATTATTCTATTCTTCTATAAAAGGTAAACAGTCCTTAATTTGTTGACTGTTGGTCCCCCTTTTTTTAGTATGTTCCGTGATTTCCGTCGTAATATCCGGTTAGTTGCAAAAATTTCGGACCCTTGTCGGATAAGCTGGCAATATTTTTCTTGAGACCGTTATAACCGGGGCCGGTTATGATCTCGGTAAACTCGAAGGCAAGTCTGGTGGTTCCGGTGGCTAATTCGGCAAGGTAGGAACCGATCTCTAGGATTTTAGCATCATCTCTCAATCCTAAATTGTCGTGTCGGATGCTCGGTCAAATCCTAATTTCAGTTGAAATCCAGTGCATCATTGTGGGGCTGTGCGATCCCCTCTGCGTCTTTGTCGTTGAACGACAAGGTTCATTCTGGTAGGTAATCTCGTGTCTGTTTCTCCCTTGTAATGGAAATTTAGGTGCGCTACATCATCGGCCCCTGGGGGATATCGACCCCACCGATGATCATGTTTTTGACATGCTGAGGTTCCTCTGGTTTGGTTCGTTTAATAGAATCCATGTTCCTGAAATGGTTCTTCGCCCGATCATTGAGGAATTCTCGGAGATATCCGTTGTTGAATAGTCGGGCTACCTCTTCCCTTAATTGTCGACAATCTTCCGTTCTGTGACCATGAGTGTCGTGATATTTGTACATTAGGTTAGGATCCCTTTGGGCTGGATCGGATTGCAAAGGTCGTGGCTATTTGGTATCTTTGATGTGTCTGAAGGCGGACACGATAGCAGAGGCATCGATGCCGAAATTATACTATGATAGCCTTGGTGCTTCTTTAGACCCGATGGACCTGTCGAAGCCGTTTTTGCTCATGAGTCCTCGGTTGTTCTGTCCTAGATCATTTCTTCTTTCATTTCTCATAGGGTTTCGCCCAGACCCGCTGCTTCTCCGGTCCCTACTGTATGGTTGATACCGATCCAGGTTTGATCTAGGTTCATGATCGGTGTCTCTCTTGAATCGGTCGATGATCCTGACAGGGTGTACGGATCCGGAAGGGGTCCCAAGCTGGTCATCTTCGACCCTGATTTTTGATTGGTACCAGTTATGGACATCGGTCCAAGTGATTGCTGGATATTCTACCAAGTTTTGTTTCAACTGCTGTGAAACCAGCGAGCTTCGAATATTGAGTCCTTGGGTGAAATCCTGAACGGGCCAACCGTCCACGACCGGGGGCAAATCCATCCCTTCCATTTGGAACCGGATACTAATTCTCTGAGCATCTCGTTATCCCTCTGTTTTACTTTGAAAAGGTCTGACTTCCCGGCCTCGACCTTTATAGCCCCGCCATGTGCCTTTATGAAGGAATCTTCAAGCATTGCAAACGAGTCAATAGAATTGGAAAGCAGGTTGTGATACCATATCATAGCTCCTTTAGATAGGGTCTCCCCGAATTTTTTCAACAGGACAGACTCGATCTCATCATCCTTCAAGTCGTTCCCTTTGATGGCACGTGTATAGGAGGACACATGCTCATTTGGGTCGGTCGTTCTATTGTACTTAGGAATTTCGGGCATGCGAAACTTCTTGTGGATCGGCTTTGGAGTCACGCTCGGGGGAAAAGGTTTCTAAATAAATTTATTGGAATCCAAGCTCTTCAGTATTTAGGGTGCTCCCGAGATTTGGTCGACCCTAAAATTGTAGGTTTCTACCTTTTTATCGTTGGCTTCGATTTTATTTTCCCCTGATTCTATCCGTTTCGTCAATTCTTTGAGCAATTTTCTGATTTTGGGGTTAGTCCCTGATTCACTCTCGCTCATTCTTTCCGAGGTTGATTCGTTCATGCGGATGGCTTCCTGGGGGAGCTCGGGTTCATTCTTGCTTGGTGTTCGACCTTGGCTCTGCAATTGAGCTATCGACGTATGTTGAGCCTGTAGTATTTAGAAGATCATACGCAGGTTGATCCCATCATTTTCGTCGTTGTGCGTGTTTTGGGCAATCGAACGCACTTCCCTGCGCACACTATTTTCGGGTTCTGTGGGCTGGCTTGTGTCGATGGCCATATGCGAACAGGAGTCGATGGGAACCACCACCGGGATTCTACCAAGATCGACCGGTGTTGCCTCGTTACCGAGCGATGCATTGTTGTTCCTGCCATGGTGGCCGGATTCTGCGTCTATGTTTAGAGGGACAGACTGTGGGTTTGACATTCCGACCCTAACCTGAAATCAGAAATACTTCAAAGAGCAAGTGTAAAATGGGGGTGTGTTATGATGATTTGTATCAAATTACCGTTATTATCCTCAGCCCCACGGTGGGCGCCAAACTGTTTGCCTTCAAAATCGGATAACAATTAAATTTGTTAATGGTTTAAAGGATATGCAGATTAATTTGATACTAAATGATAAACTTGATAGCAATTGAAATAAATAACGATAAATTAACTGCAAACCATACGAATTTGATAATTTCAGCCTAGGAAAGCTGTCCACCCTCAAGTTGAATATACTTCCATTGACACCAAGATACCAAAGAATAAGAACTTAAAGAATAACGATAACGTATTGCTTATGAGTGTATATTACAATGTTCTTTCTTGAGTCGCTAGGCCCCCTTTATATATTAGAGGAGTCCTACTTTTAGGGTATTATTCTATTGTTCTATAAAAGGTAAAGAGTCCTTGATTTGCTGACTGTTGGTCCCCCTTTTTTGGTATGTTCCGTGATTTCTGCCATAATGTCCGATTAGTTGCGGGAATTTCGTACCCTTGTCGAATAAGCTGGCAATATTTTCCTTGAGACCGTTATAATCGGGGCCGGTTATGACCTCGGTAAACTCGAAGGCAAGTCTAGTGATTTCGGTGGCTAATTTGGCAAGGCAGGAACCAATCTCTGGGATTTTAACACCATCTCTCGATCCCAAATTGTCGTGTCAGATGTTCGGTCAAATCCTGAGTTCGATTTTACCTGTATACATCAATATATATAAGTTAAATCATAACTGGTATACTATT